TAAAATGTAGGAGATATAAGTATTACTAACGCTGCATATTTTAAGCCAGAAGTTCTGGAGATCGGCACTAGGTGGCGCAGAGACTGAAAACTTTCTCGTGTGTACAAACTTATTTCCAAACTTAGATATACGAAAACGAATAATTTAGATTTGTAAGTGATTTGATCGGAATTTCCAATGATATGTCCATGAAATAATAAATTTTGTATGAATTAACTATATCTTATTAGTTATACTCAATAAAATTGTATATTTGAAAATATAGATTTAATTTGTTGTTTTTCAGTTTAAATACGTCTTCAAAAAAAACCAAGGTAGTTAAGATCCTTTTCTAGACAAAATCCTTAATGATTAAGTCAATAGTGTCATTTTTTATAAAATTTGATCCCCTTTAAGCTGACTGTTAGAGTAGCTGTTATAGCAGCAGCGATTATGTCCCATTGTTTGATGAACATCGTGGTTTGCAATACTTTTCTCAGGTTTTTCAAGTTTCTATGTATAAGACCGTATTCTTTAACGTTATAGGATAATAGTCTTTAGCTTTATAAAGGGAAGTTAATTAAATAATTTTCTCCAAAACTGGGTGGTGCTGACAGAGCCTCGCATTTGATCATCTCAAATTTTAGGTTCCTCAAAACTATCATCGCAATTTCATCATTAAAATTCGATCTTTATTGGTTTTAGATTGAAAAATTTATTTATTTCTAGCATACAGATCTATAGAAATGCAAAAGCATCTGTACCTAGAGCTAGATGTTGGATAAATTATCCTAATTTTACAAAATGTTTAAAAATCTATATAAAAATACAAAATACATAAATAGTTAGGGAGATGTTAATATTGCACAAATTTCTTCTATGTATTCCAGCAACGTTGCTTTATTTTCATCATACTCTGTTTAAAAATGTATGAAATATTTTTTTAATCCTAATTAAATTTGATAGAGTAAATTTTTTTTTGCGAATTTTTAATGCAACAGCATAAAAAAATACAACTAACTAATTAAGTTCTATGAATTATCGACAGATGGCGCAGAAGCTGAAAACTTCTCATAAGTATAAACTTATCTCTAAATTAATATCAACGAAAATTATTGCAATGTTATTTTCATTCGTCCTATAAATTCTATTAATCTGACTGAAACTAGATTAAATTATTGTTTAACAGCGAAATTAATTCTAACATTCCATAAAATTTTTCTACAAACGATAACAACATAAACCTACTTTAGGTGATAATAAATTTCTTGACATTAAAAAAAAAATTAAAAACAGAAAACATCAATTTTTTTACCTAAATCCTTTAAAGATATTTTTGTCAGCTTCGTCATTTTGTTCTTTATTTATTTTTAAGCAAAAATAAAATTTTTTGTTCTTTTCCTCGAGGTCAACTTTTAAGTAGCCGTATCTCGACAGGCATAATGAAGAAATTATTTTGTATTACTCCAGTTAGTCACTTTTTGAAACAAATATTAGCTTTTGAAGTGTTGATACTTTTGGACATGATCCGTGAAATTTCTTTGATTAAAATTATTTTCAAATCTTCCAAATTTTTCTTTATCCCAAAAAAAAAATTACAGAGTTTTATAAAATTATATTTAGACAAATATAATTTTTTTTTCTTAAATAGAAAATTTTTTCGAATAAATCTATACTTAAATACATAAGTGAAAAGAAAGTTCAAAAAATTCCTGTTAGGTGGCGCAGATGCTAAAATTGTTCTCGTAAGTATAACCTTATTTTCAAGTTAATATAAGCAAAAAAAAATAATTTATATTCGCAATTAATTTTATTAAAATCTTTAATATTTTCTTAGCAAATTTTTTTGTTTGTAAACTATAAATTTTATGAAAATTTTTAATTTTATAGAATTATAATTATTAAAATTACCTTCTAATGTTTCATTACAAATTTAATGTTATTACGTTCCCTCTTCATTAAACATAATTTTCCTTAAAAAAACTGAAACTATTGCAAGATAAAAGTACTTAAGGTAAATTCTATTTAAATATTAATTTCACAAGAAATTTTACAATTTTTTGGACGTCGAAATTAGTATTAAGCAATATGCACATATCATAAATCAAATGTTGATGATGGAATATTTTTGGTGCCAATTTTTTTGTTGATCATGCAAATATTTCTGTACAATACAAAATATAGAGACCACATAAGAGCTATTTGTGGCAAATTAATTCAGTTCTTAAGTTATTAAATATTATTAATATGAATTACTATTCTTCATTGAATGGAAAAATAATGATTCAATAACGATGTCTGTAATAATTATAAAAAAATTTTAGAAGATTCGGTGGTTGAATTTTATGAGGGAAAATTGACATAATTTCAATAGTGCAGCAGATAAATTGATTAACATGATAATGCATTAAATGAAATAATTTAGAATAAGTTGCCACAGTCACATCTTACTGGATAATTAATCTGACAAATTTTTCAACAGATAATTGTCAGCAGTCAATTATTATGGTATCGACAATCGCATCAGTATAAATAGTTTTATATTATTATTATAAATTGTTATAATAGTTCTCTGTCTTATAAATCAATTAAAAATTTTTTATATACCCAGCAATCAGCAATAAAAAAACTTACAAAAATTTACAATTAAAATACCCTGAAAAAAATTACAAATGATGTGATATTATACCTCCTAACTATTCATTGTATTTATAAACATAATTTATTCATTTCAGGACGTAAAATGTAGAAGCAATTACAAGTATTACTAACGCTGAATATTTTAAGCCAGAAGTTCTGGAAATCGGCACTAGGTGGCGCATAGACGCAAAACTTTCTCGTAGGTACAAGCTTATTTCCAAGTTTAGATAAGCCGAAACGAATAATTTAAATTTGTAGATAATCTGATCAAAATTTTCAACGTTGTCTTAATAAAATAATAATCTTTGTATGAATTAATAATTAATTCTTATCAATAGTTTTCAATAAAGCTGCTTATTTGAAAATTGGATTCTTTTCTTTAAAATATAATTTGGTTCAGAAATTGTAACTTTGAGTACTTCTTCTGAACTGAAAAAAATTAACACTTTTTGGAATATTCTCTCTTTGATAAAACTTTTTATTCACTGACGGAGTAATGGCATTTCTTATAGGATTTGCTCCTCTTCAAGACAACTGTTACACCCTAATTTCCAATTGTCCATGGTTCGATAAAGAGTGGCGTCAGCAGTAATATTTTACATGTTTGTGAAGTCTATAAGCATGTGACCGTATTTTATATCTTTCAGGCCAGTAAAATTTATATTTAAAACCATTATAATTTTTAAAATGCGATTTCTATCGCGATAGCATCAGTTTGGTCCAGGTCACGTTTAGGAATCTTTTCAATTTTAATTTGTTCGAACTTATGTACAAGCTCTTTTTTGAAATAATAAATTCATTATAAAATCTATTTAAAAATTTACGATATTTTTTGAAGGTACATTAATTTTTTTGCGTATTATAACGCAACAATATAAAAAAATCTAACTAACTAATATTTTAAGTTTCTAATGAAGTTCTAGGAATTGTCGCTAGATGGCGCAGAAGCTGAAAATTTCTCATAAGTACAAACTTATTTCCAAGTTTACATGAACAAAAAAGATTGCAATAAAGTATGAATATTTTTTTTTTAATGTCTGATATTTTTTGTTATGACTTGTTATTTAAATTGTAAATAACAAAATTATGTTTAAAAATTTAAGAAATTGAATTTAATGATAATATTCTTCGAATATCAGCTTGAAAATTAGTAATTGAAAAAATAATAATTTAATTTAAATAACTCTTGAAATACGTTTTGCTTCTCCAAAAGGTATTTTAGTTATATTGTTTCATTTTTGTGATTAAATGATGGAAATTTTAGTTCGTTCAGATCTCCGATTGTGACGTCGAGTCATTGAATCGAAGAAACGATGGATTTATCGAATTTTTTTGGAGCACTTGATAAAGGCATGTTTTTTCGTAGTTGGGCAAATACTCTATCGAGGATAATTCGAGACAGTGATTGAAACGATGATTTTTACAATACTTCAACGTTTTTATTAAAATTTAATATTTAGTGAAAACCCGATCGTTAGTTTTAATATTTTTGGTTAGTTGCAATTTTTTTGGGTTTTTCTTTTTTTTTTTTTTCTAAATTTGGACACCTCACCAGGCTAATTACTTTTAGATTTAGATTCAGTAATTTGAAATACATAAAAATCATACGATGAACTGGGTCCGTATTTCATATCAGTGGCTTAGCTTACGTATTCTTTTTTAAATTGAATTTTTATTAAAATTCACTACGATACAACCGTACAAAGCCAAACGAACTTTTCTTATTTGTCACGTGAAAACTATGGCGCCACTTGATCAAGCTAGATTCTTTTAGACTGCGTGCGCATATGACAAGAAAAAAGGGCGCTGATATTTAAAAAAAAAAAACAAAAAATACTCTGTAAGAAATTACTTAATTATAATCTACTACTTTATGACTATTTTTCTCGATTTTTTACAACTTTTAGCGTTATTCCGTAATTTATTGGGACGGTTTTAATTTTTCGACCTGAGTAGTCAAGCATTGAGCTTAGCATGCAGAAGAGTGTGTTAAAATCGATATGTAGAATGCATTGTCAATAAGCGGCCTGGATTTCGCTCGCGACACTTATCAGCGGTAGAGAGTGTGACGTGCAAGCATTGAACAGCTCAATCAACTAATGGCTCGTGACTTAACGTGTAACGCAATAAAATGTCCCGGGAAATATAGATTTTTTTCGATTCGCAACAACAAATGTTGTCATGGATACTTTGTATTTCACCTGTAATTTTATGAGCTTTCTGAGTCACTACGTACTCAACTGTTGAAGAGAACAGTCGTTCCAATTTTCCAAGCAGAATTGTACAACTTGTAGAAATATTTGAGCTCGAGTGTTACTTTCAGTTACAGTAGTGAAGAAAACTCATTTTACAAAACGCGATTAGATCGTCTCAAATCAACTATGTGGCAAAAAATTATTTCATGTTGTTTGATTTTAACGATTGTGGGAGGAAATAGAATGGATATTTACGATTCAAAAGTAGATTCTACCGAACGTCTCAAAAGCGATGCGGTAAGTCTCAATGTGTAAATGATTCTATTTTTTTCCGCTATATTTTGAAATTTTTCAAACGAGCCTCTCTTGAACCAAGAATACCATTTTAAAGAAAATGATATTCTTGAGCCAAGGGAATAAATTCTTATGCTACCCGGGTCAAAAAATTTAGTCTGTTTTAGGACTAATAAAAATTTTTAATATTATTTTCATTCAATTTAATTTTATTATGTGTATCTATTTTATATAAGAATTTAATCTGTTTTTGCCCGTACTATTCTCAATTCAGACCAATTTCAGATCATTTCTAATGTTACAATACAATTGTTTTCTATTGTTTCAAGACCAAAATCAGACTTTTTTGTCACAATCATTTAACTGGTTTTGATCGCATCAAGGTCAAAAACAGACCATAACGTTGCATAATTTTTTGTCGGTTTTTGATCGCCTGTAGATCAAAAGCAGACCTACGAATTAGATAGTAATAATAATAATAATAATATATTTATTTATTTATTATTATTTTATTCATGTCCTCGAAGATCCTCTACTAACAAATTCATTTGTTACCACAACATATCTTAGGTTATCTTAACAAAGTTTTTTTCTGCGTGTGCATGGGTGTGTGTGTGTGTGTTTTGTTTTTTTTTTTTTTTTTTTGGTTTTTTTTTTTAGTCCTTAGGGGGGGGAATCCTTTTTACTGGATTCTAGGCATATGATGTTGGCCTGGATATGTGGCGACTCGACGCAGCGTCATACTAAAACTCGACGCTGACGCCCCTACCCACTAAACCCTAAACCATCTGTGTTAGGTAGAGTTGACCTCACCGTGATTCCGATTCAGCCAAATGTCGATCTTTGGTATGAGACGATGCGTCCATCTACCCTTCTCTGCGGCATCCCACTGAGATTGCCATCGTGCGATGCTGTGCTGTCTTTGTTCCGTTCTGAGTTCTTCTGCGCTCAGTGTTGTTAACCTCTTTCGTTGGTAAAGGTTCCTTCTTTCTTTAGCTAGGACTCTGAGAGGTAGAGTTCCAGAAATGACGCACACTGCTTCCTCAGATATTGTGTGTGTGTGTATGTGTGTGTGTGTGTGTGTGTGTGTGTGTGTGTGTGTGTGTGTGTGTTTGTGTGTGTGTTTGTGTGTAAACCTCTCGTAACTTTTGAACGGCTTGACCGATTTCATCGTGGTTGGTGTCATTCGAAAGGTCTTCGCCAAACTTAGATTTCCTGTAAGTTGGAACCGATTCGGACCAGTAGATTTCAAGAAATTGCAAAAAAAGTGAAAAAAAAGTTGTTTTTTTTTTTTTTAAATATCTCCGAATTGGCTAAAATCGATCAACCTCAAAAACTAATCAGCTCTTAACCATGAAAACCCCCATCGATCGCCACCAAAAACGTCAGAATCGGTTGATGCGTTCGTGAGATATCGTTTTCGAAAAAAGTGTTTTTTTTTGTAATAACTCCGAAAATTTTCATCAGATCAATTTTTTCGTTCAGAATTATTTATAGAGCTCAAAAAACTACATCGATTGCCGCTAACCACGTGCAAATTGGTCGATTCATTCAAAAGTTATAGCAGTTTGAAAATTAAAAAAATCGTGTTTTATCGAACTTTGATAAGATTTTTGAGCTTGAAGAGATCAAAAGCATAAGAAAGCTATCTTTTTGAGCTTGAAGAGCTCAAAATAACATATAAACTGTATTTTTGAGCTCGAAGAGCTTAAAAGAGTCATAAATGCAATTTTAAGCGCCTAGGTTTGAAATTAGCGGGAAGTTGCAGGGATGGCCTTCAGGGTCAATCGTTTTCCTAATTTTTTTTATAGTCTTACTTTCAATTTTGTCTAATTCTAATAAGTAAATTTTTTTGAAAAGAAATATTATATTAAATATAATTTTTTGTTTACAGAGGGAGTTGGTTGAAACGTGTCTCACGAATAATTCAAATCTTGTGGTGATCTCTAAGGAATTATTCGACACTAATTGGGATCTAGTTAAAAATCCTCTAATTATAATCGATAACGCATTCAAAAAGCAGATCACAGGTTTTCTCCCTGCGTATCCAACGTACGTGCTTTTTTTTAAGTCGGTCAAAAGTCTAAAGGAAATTATTAATCATCTCAAGAAATCAACATTGTGGAGTATTAAATCACCCTTTGTAATCGTTGAAACCGAATTACGTTGTAAAAGTTCTAAGAAAATTCTGGAATTCATGTGGATGGAGGATTTACTGTCAGTCTATTACTTATGCAATAAAAAAGATTTGACCGTCATCCTGACGCTGAATTCTTATGCAAGATATGCTCCAAGGCCGTGGGTCCTAATTGAGGAATTTGGCGACAGTAACAAGAAAATAAATCTTTACAGCTTAAATTATACAAAAGGTACTGTAATCATTAAATATTGTATTACATCAGAAAGTTGTGCTTTTAGTTTACAACTCAGTATGTTTGTTTTCAGACCTAAGACTATGTAAAAGTATAACTTTTGAAAAGACGGATCATTTAGAAAGTGCGGACATACAATTCAGTCGTTTCGAATCTAGAAAATTGATAAATTCTCGAAAATTCACTAATCAGATTCTGAAAAGTCTATTAGATCAACCAGGAGCAACTCTATTACATATACCAGGTTATATTAATGCTACCCCGAAACTAGACTATATTTTATATCCAAATTCATCTCAATTACTACAAGGTTACGTTCAGCAATTAGTTGACCGAACATCAGACGTTCATGTAGCATTAATGCCAGTAACAGAAACTAACTATAAGTATGTAGATGTCGTGGCGGACTATTCTCACGAGTATGAATTTTCTATAATTTCCAGAAAGGCAGATTTTTTTATAGTACTTAACGAAGTAACTAGTGATATAAATTTTGTAGTTAAGACAATTACGTTGTCTGTTATGTTCACGATAGCTATGGTGCTCATCAACAGAGACGATATACGCGAGGCTTTGATGGATGTCGTGAGATTAATAGTCAGCATGGGACTTGAATCTCCGCTTAACCGACTAGCAATTAAGTTCATCTTTTTTTTTGGATTTTTATTCGCGTTCTCGGTAGTTCCCGACTTTCAGGGCCACGTATCTGCGATTCTGTCAAGTCCTATGAAACGGAATGTCGAGACGCTAAAAGACCTCCACGAAAACAAGTTCCATGTGTACTATTCAGACAAATTGGAGCGAGCTATAGTTAATGAAAGTTTGTGGGTGACTGATGAAGACAAAAAATATCTTCATCCAATTTCTACTGAGGAGATTACAAATTGTATTAATGATGTAACCACGAATCTTACAATAGCTTGTATACATGAAGCAAATTTATTACAGCGAAACATTGTTAACTATTCCGATATTTATCTGTCGAAAACACCAGTCTTTAAGAAACAATTGGTTTATTGGACCAGAAAGAATTGGCCCTTAAAGACTAAGTTCGATGAAATGGCATTAAAAACTTTAGAACTAGCGTTATTATTGGAATTTCAATCAAAAAAACGAGATAAAAATGCAAAGAAAATATCAATAATCAAGAATAGGATAGAGGCCGGAGAAAAGTATGACCAATTTGACTATGATGAGTTAATATTTATTTTTTATTTTATCGGCTTTCTTTCTGCATTTGGGGTTATAGTTTTTTTGATTGAAATAATAATGGCTAGGTCTTTAAGAATTTACATATAATTTAAACTCGTATGTCTTATCCGTATATCTAATCAACTTATTTGTTTTTATGATTAATAGCACCGGGGTGCCATAACAAAATAACCGCAAACAAAATAATTAGATGACAAAATATTCTCTGTAAAAATCATCATGGTCATTATAAATAATGATAAAAAGGAAATATACAGTAGAACTTCACATAAATAGGTTTTTGTGTGTGTTTATTCGACATTAGACCAACACAAACGCGGGTAATCGTGTTGTGCCCTTTTAACATGGTTTTTGTGTGTATTTATTCGACATTAGACCAGCACTAACGAATTTATTAACACTTAACGAACACTAACAACACTATTTGAATTTTTTATTCTTAAGTATCTGTTTTTGGTAATACTATCGACGATAATAAATTACATTACTGAAGATAAAACAGATTTAACATTCACTCTGAATATTTTAAGCCAGAAGTTCTGTAAGTCAACACTAGGTGGCGCAGAAACTGAAAACTTTCTCATGGGTACAAACTTATTTCCAAGTTTAGATAAGCCAAAATCTATAATTTGAATTTGTAAATAATTTGTTTAAAGTTTTGAATGTTATAGCTATAAAATACTAATTTTTGTATGAATTATTAAACATTATTGATAGCTCCATACTTTATTATCAGGATAAATCTGTTGAAAAATAATTAATAATGAAATACTTTAACGCTTTTGTTAAAATTTAGTATTTGATAAAAACTTGATTTCTAGTTTTAATATTTTTTGTTAATGTGATGGGTATATTTAAGGAGAAAATTTAATTTAAAATTATTTTCTTGAATTTAGAAATCACATAAATTTTAAAAAAAAAACTTTTATAACAAATTTCAATTGAGCATCTAATTTGGTTGGTGAAAATTTCTTTCAATTCTTGAGAAATTTTATTAAGATTCAATAATGATAACATAAATAATTTGAAATCTATTATTAAGAAATAATTACACTTAAGGATAAAAATGATAATTTTCTGATTTTCAAAATGTTTTTAGGAGTAATTCTGAAATCGAATTAAAAAAACAATAAAGAAATTTTTGAGCCAAAATTAGTTCTAAAAGGATGAATTTAATGATAATCAAATTTAACAAACTCACCCTTGAGTACAAAGAAGAAAAGAATTCGACGGAAATTCACCTTTATGGTGTTTATTCGTCTTTCTTTTAACAGTGATTTTCTACAATACAAAATATACAGTCTACGTAAGAGCAATTCGTGGCTAACTAATAATACATCATTAAGCACTATTGATAGCTACATATTTTGATAACAGGATAAATCTGTTGAAAGATAATTAACTATAACATTTCCGAGAAACTTTCTGAATATTAACACAAAATATCAATTTTGGCAGCATTTTGCTTTAAAAAAAAAATAAACACGTCAATTGTAAAAAAATTCTTTTGATAACTATTGAAAATTAATTTGACAAACTTTGATTTATCTTACTGACATTTGTTGTCGAATTTTCGGAATAATTGTTCGAGACTAAAAAATAACAGAAAATAAATTAGTCAAAGCAAATTTCTTCTAATTGAATAAACAAGTGGAGTACTGAGAATTATAGAAATATTGAAATTCTTCTCCATTTGTCGGTTGACAACATAAATATTTACTTATATTGAATTGATTTGCTATTTAATTATTTTTCAATTTGACTTAAAACGTAAATTTGTTTTCGTAAATTGATTTTAGAAATTTGAATTTTGTATTCTTAAGTATCTAATTTTTCCAATACTATCGACGATAATAAATTACATTACTGAAGATAAAAAAAGTTCAACATTCATTCCAATGTCCACTTTGCCCCATAAATATTTCTTTTATTATTTAAGCATCAGATGTTTAAAAATGAAAAAATTTATTTTTAATTGAACGAAATTTAAACATTTGGCATTTTGTCAAAATAAAAACAATGACAACAATAATTCATTTACGGAACAAAAAACTTATAAAAATATACACTTAGAAATAGACTGCAAAAAATTAAGAATTTTGTGATATGGAATTTCTCGACTATTCGTTTTATTTTTAAATACTCTATTTATTTTATTCATAAATAAAATTCATTTCTTTTATGAAATAAAATGAAGAAGTAATTATAAGTATTAATAACGCTGAATATTTTAAGCCAGAAGTTCTGTAAGTCGGCGCTAGGTGGCGCAGAAACTGAAAACTTTCTCGTGGGTACAAACTTATTTCCAAGTTTAGATAAGCAAAAATCTATAATTTGAAATTGTAAATAATTTGATTGAAATTTTCAATGTTATAGCTATAAAATACTAATTTTTTTATGAATTATTAAACATTATTGATAGCTCCATACTTTATTATCAGGATAAATCTGTTGAAAGATAATTAATAATGACATACTTGATATCTCTCCTGAAAATAGACCCACCAATTATCAATTTTGTTATGGTTTTTTTTTTTTGTAAAAAAATAAATAAAAACGTTTGTCATTATGATGTTTAGTAAATGATAAAGATTATATTTCATATAGCTACTTACTACTTAAAATAAACTTGACGTCCTTTGATGTATTTTGCTGACAATTTTTTGTACTTGCATGTTTGAGTAAAAAATGACAGAAAAAAAAATTATTTCGGTGAATTTATATATGATTAAATGATCAAATAGATTATTGATAATTATTATTTTATGATTTAATAATAAAAATATCAAAATTCCACTCCATTTGTCGATTGACAGCATATTTATATAAAAATATTAAATTTCATTAATTTTTAATTTGATTTAAAACACAAATTGATTTAAAAAAATCAAATTTTTAATTTTTCAGTTTATATCTCTGTTAATAATGTCGACATTGATAAATTACATTATTAAAAAATAAGGATTAGCATTTACTCGCCAGTCCACTTTGCTCCATTAATATTTTTCTCATTTTTTAGGCAGCGAATATTCAAAGATAAGAAACCAATTTTTGATTGAAATTCAATCATTTGCATTCTGTCAAAAAAAAAAAAAAAAAAAAACAAAAGCCATAATCCATTCATGGATGTTATTGTACTGTATCATGGAGTTATTGTACTTACAAATAATTATAATATTTTTTCTAATAAGAAACTTATAAAAATACACACTCAGAAATATTCTGCAAGAAATTAAAAATTTTATAATATGGATTACTTGATTTGTCGTTTTATTCATAAATATTCTATTTATTTTATTTATAAATATAATTCATTCCTTTTATGACATAAAATAGAGAAGCAATTATAAGTACTACTAGCGCTGAATATTTTAAACCAGAAGTTCTGAAAGTCAGCACTAGGTGGCGCAGAGACTGAAAACTTTCTCGTGAGTACAAACCTATTTCCAAGTTTAGAAAAGCTAAAAGCTATAATTCAAATTTGTAAATAATTTGATTAAAATTTTCAATGTTATAGCAATAAAATACTAATTTTTGTATTAATTAATCATTGTATCTTATCAATTGTACTCAATAAAATTTTATATTTAAAGATTAAAATTAATTTTTTAAAGTATGATTTAATGAAATCATATTTCATCAAATATGGAAATTGTAGCTTTCAAATGATAAATTGTAACTTTCAATTCATCTTTTGAATAAAAAACAATTGAGATTATTATGATGAAATCTGTTTTATGGAACTTATTATACATTTCAGCAGGGTTGTCATTTTTCATATATGGTAAAGTTATGTTCAGCAACTATTGCTAACGGTTTAGTTATCTGCATTATTTGAAGCAATATTTAACTTTGTTGTTTTCCGAAAACTTACATGTTATCTATTAGGGCTCTGAACATTTGTCAGTGCAATTTTACGATATTTTTTTAGGAGGCCAGTATACATTATTTCGAATATTAAATAACTTCTACAATATTGTATCTTGAACGATAGTTGAGTGAGATTTATTTGGATACAGATCATTTGTTATATTCAGTTTTACCAGTACAAAATCAATTTAATATTTGCATCATTCATCATGAAATCGTACAAGTTGAATCACTAGAACAAAAATCCAATAAATTTGTTTCCTATTTCTGACCTATCTTGCGAAGACTTTTATTCATAATTTTGACGGATAATCAGGGACATTCAATTTTCCATCTCATTCAACCCGTTATTTTAGAATTAGCTCCAATAAGCTTCTGGCAGATAAAAAATTAGGGTCCTTTAAATAGTATAACCATTGTTATAAAATATTGTAAAGTACATAACTGTAAAACAATCATTTCACTTCATTGAAAAGTTTTTTTTTAAAATGATAAATTCATTATGCAATCCATTTAAAAATTTACGGAATTTTTTGAAAGTACATTCATTTTTATTTACGCATTTTAATGCAACAATTTAAAAAAAATTATAACTAACGTTTAATATTCTGAGTTTTTAATAAAGTTTTATTAACCGTCGCTAGATGGCGCAAAAGCTGAAAACTTCTCGTAAGTACAAACTTATTTCCAAGTTTATATGACCAAAAAAATTAGTTATAAGATATGAAGAATTTTTTTTTTACTTATTCGATTTTTGTGTAAGATATTACTTATGGTATATTACAAAATTTTCATGAAAAATTTGTAAATTTAATTTATTGATAAAATACTCCGAATTTCAGATTATTAATTAGCAATTGAAAAATATTAAGTTAATTTAAATAATTATTAAAATACGTTTTGCTTATCCATGTTTTTAAGATTTCAATGATGTTAATTTGATGATTGTATTTGTCGATTTAAATATTAAATTATTACATTAGATAAAAATAAATTAATCAATTCTTTTTTTCAACTGGACAGAAAAATATTTTTTTTTGTTCTCGAGCACCATTAACATCAAGGAAAACTCGAGACAATGAATTAGTAAAATAATTAAACTAATTAACTAAATAAGTAAAATATAATTGATTTAAAAATCAATAATAATTATTTTAAAAAAATGTAAACGACTTCAAAAAACATTTTTGTTGTATGGAGAAAAATATAAATTTTTG